AAATCGGTGCATTAATTGGACGAGTTTTAAGACATTTGGAATTACAATAAAAATTATATGTCCTGTGCCAATGTGAAGATATATTCAATGGTCGAGGAGTCGAAGCTTCGTTTTGATAGACTCGAAAAGCTAACCTGCAAAACGTAAGCCAGCGTCCCTACAGGCAAGAGCAGTGAGCATCATATGTGAACCATCCAGTGAGTGTACAAAATTGGGAGGAAATGCAGTTCTCTGCTTTCTAACATCCACCTGGAAATAATGAAACAATCGAATAAGATCAATGCAAATCTGAAGAATTTCATATGATTCGAGAAGAGTTGCAAGCTTACCGAGTTACCCTCTCGTCGCAAAGCCAAAACTTGAAGAGATGTCCTAATCTGCAGCACAAAGCAAAGATTAGTTACTTTGTCTTCATGATCGAACTATTTATTAAATAATAAGGAAAGTTGCAGACAATTGTAACAACCCAAACCCATCGCCGGCAGATATTGTCCTTTTTGGGCTTTCCCTTTTAGGCTTTTTTTCAAGGTTTTAAAACTCGTCTGTTAAGGAGAGGTTTCCACACCCTTATAAGGAATGTTTCGCTCCCCTCTCCAACTAATGTGAGATCTCACAACCCACCCCCTTGGGGGCCCAACATCCTCGCTGGCACACCGCCCAGTGACTAGCTCTGATACCATTTGTAACAGTTCAAGCTCACTGCTAGCAGATATTGTCCTCTTTAAGCTTTCCCTTTCGGGCTTCCCTTCAAGGTTTTAAAACGTGTCTGTTAGGGAGAGATTTCTACACCCTTATAAGAAATGCAGCGTTTCCATCACCAACGGATGTGGGATCTTATAGATGGGGGTTTCTATGAACCTTCGGTGAAGGTGCTCCCCTGTCTTGTCAACTTCAAATCAAAAGTTGTATTGATTTCTGGAAAAAGATTCCACAAAGCAGTGACTCACAAGATGCCGTTCACTTTTATAGTAAGGTTGTACCACAGGAAGACCAAGAGGGGTAGTCCAACGCACAGGCTGATTATCAGCAGCAATCACCTGCAAGAGTGACGTATTTAACAATTAGAACAGAAGTTTCGAAGTATGACATAGCCTGCTAAGAACAAGTCTGAGTGGCATGCCTTAGCACAATCACCAAGCCAACTCATTATCCCACGTGCAGCTTCAAATATTTCTCCAAGTGCAGCCAACGTCACCTACAGAAGAGGGAATAAGACTATTAGACATATTCTGAAACTGACCCTGAAATATTCTGTTATTTCTCTCTGGACAAAAGGAGACAATTGCTTAGCACTGACTCACATTCCTTCATGTAAGTCTCACTTTACCACAAAACCACTAGATAGAGGATCGATGGGAGACTAGCATAAGGATATATCCAATAGAAAAGGGGTAAGTGAAACTTCCCAGAAAGTAACCAGACCAGCAAGGAGAAGTAAAATAATAATGGATGATCAATGGCTAGGTGTAAGAGCACAAGCCCACCGCTAGCAGGTATTGTCTTCTTTGGGTTTTTCCTTTCGGGCTTCCCATCAAGGTTTTTAAAATGTGTTCTCCTCCCCAACAGATGTGGGGTCTCACAGCCTACCACCTTTGGAGAGAGGTTTCCACACCCTTATAAAGAATTCTTCGTTCTCCTCCCCAACCGATGTGGGATCTCACAATCAAAAGTCTTCATCCAAGTTATATTTATGATAAATTTTGAAGAGACAGCGATATGCAGAGACACATCCTCAACCTATGCCTAATATTTTTCATTTTTTCCTTTTCTTAGCAAGTATTCAAAATTTTGTAAGCTAGGGACAACGAAGAACAATTAAGGTTGTCAAAGTTTTCAGCAGACGAATTAAGTTGATCGACTTATTTTCACTCTTTTTTAACAAATATTCCCTAACAAAGAGATTCACAAAAGTCTTATATTCTGATTACACATGAAAGAAAATCTATTAAAAAAATAACAACAGTCATCTCTCCATATAAGAACGAGTCTGTAATTAGTAAGTTACTCACTTTAGCAGCATAACAGGCAGCTCTAAATAGTAGTCTATCATCAGAAATGATGCCCTTCTCCTCTAGTCTTCTTTTAATTTGTTCACGAGCTCCAACATAAGTGACACCATATACAGAAGTCATCACTGTCTGTTTCACCAGTTTGCGATCAACCTGAAAGCCTCAAAAAGATAAATTAGTTCAAAACGTACGTACATAGTTCTACAAGAAAAAAAAAATTAAAAATCAACATCCATTTTCTAGGGGAAATTCATGCAGCTTTGCAGCTAAATCAAGAAAGATGAACCTGATCAATTAGGATCTTAGCTAGTAAAGCATTTGGATTTGCCGTTGGATCCTTGTTACCATCTCTGATCATGATATCGTGAACCCTGTTGACCAATAATAGAAGTCATGATTTTGGTTTCTATTCGATGCAATTTCACTCCCGGCGCACGCATATAAGGTAGTGAACCACTTTTTCCTCGTAAGAAACTGAATTTTACAAAGAAAGCAGTACAAAGAGAAGATAAACAATCTCCCAAGGAAGTTATACAAGGGCACTCCCCACTAGACTAAAATTGAAAGGGAGTTGAAATTACAAAAATGATCAGAGAATAAAATGGCTCAACGCTATGAATCAACTAAATCCCAGAAATCCTCTAGATCCTCACACCTCTTTAAAAATGTTTTAGACCGCCAGCTGACATTAGAAAAACGGTGATTAAAAAAAAATCCACCAAACAAGTCAAAGAGTCACAAAAAGTACCGCCAGCATATTTGCTTCATGTTTTAAGTGATGACTCATGAGCAATAGGAATTTTTTTTACAGGGAAAAGAAAAGTACAGGGCATTGATATGACAGTTACTGTATAACACAAAAGAACAGTGCCAACTGATGCCAGTGATGACGAACATACCTGGCAGCGATTTCTGAGTAAACATCAGCAAATTCTTCTCCAGCAACTAAGTTAACAGCAGCTGCTTCCAACTGGAAATCCATAAACATACTCTTTTAGGTTATAGAAAATTTTCATCTTCAGCAAGTACACACGTGAAATTGATAATAAGAGACTCCCGCTATAGGTCATCCATGCAGATCCTAATGAATGGATCCTTGATTCTCATAACTATAAAGTAAAACATTTACAAGAAAAGAAAAGGAGGAGAATCCTGAAAAAAAATAAAATTATGGATGCAAGAGAAAAGAACTTTGAAGCCCGAAGGGAGAAATTATCATTGTTGCATTATAATTCGTCATCACTGAACATATTATTTGATTACTTATGAAGAAGTTGAGGAATTACTAAAAACAATTTTTATTTTTTGTAAGAGCGATCATAAAATAAGGAACATAAGGAATTTTATGCGACACAAATATAGATTTGGCCTTACAGTGTCTCTTCCCAAAGCTGCATAGTGCTGTAAGCCATTGCATGACCCATCCTGAAAAATCATGACTTTTAAACTGTCATTACACTGCTAAAAATAAATTTAAAAAATAGATGTCGAGCAACATAACAAAAGATAAATGATATCTAGTTCAAATAAAGATGATAATCAAGACAAAACTGTGAAAATGAGAAGGTAACAAGGTGGAGATACTAAATCAAATGAAAACATGAAACCGACAAAAAAAAAAAAGAAGAAGAAATATTAAATTCATTTGAAATTACAATATGAGGAACAAAAGAAGTAAGCTCCTTACAAAAGATATAAAATATAGACGATTTCCTTAATGAAATTTTGGAAGCCAAGGAGAACTGAGGTTGAAAAAACCTCTTGTACAGGAATATATTTATCTTCAAGAAGAATGAAGGAAAAAATGCGTAAATAACACAAGGATAAGAAATCATATACAGATCATTTAGACACAAGCGAACAAATTAAATTATGCATAGACATGTAATTTATATTGAGGAAAAAAGGAATGCTATCAAACGAGACAAACTTATGCTTGTTTCTTATCCTATTACTTCCAAGTGTTGATTAAGCCTACCTGATGGATTGGCAGATGGGAAATGACAGTGTGTGGGGATGAGCTCTTTAGGGCTTCGAATAGATTGATACAAGCAGCCAAGCATTGGAAAGGATCTTCAGCAGTCAACCACCAACGATCTCCTTTAACTGGGTTACTAGCAGAATCAAATATGCTATCCAGATGGTCATCCACAAATGCTAGACGTCTGTCATAGGAAAGTTTTTCAACACCACCAGCATACAAATTAGCTAAATGTATCTTCAGCCAATGTAAACCAGATTTTCCTAAAGGTCGTCCTTCAGCAAACTCAAGAACTCCTCGACAAAGATCAGAACTCAAATGATTCAGATGCGGATGCATTGGGTATGCTCGGCCTCGAAAATCAAGATTATGAGGGTAATAAAAGCCTTCCTCGTCCTTCATTTTGCGAGCAACCTAACTCAAGGCAAACTACTGATTAGTTTTTTTATAATAATTATTCCCACATAACGAAAAGTATAAGCACATGAAGGATTTCTACAGTTACTAATTAATATTTTTTTCATAATAATTATTGATTAATGTTCTTTAAATTGGTACATCCTTCAAAATAATCCAACAATCAACATAATCACAGAGCTAGTGGGATTCGATGTTGATTAAAATCTTAGACAATTTGGATGAAAAAAGAAAATAACTGATCTTCCTAAACAAAGACATTTGTGCTGATGGAAAGGGCATAACCAGTTTCGCACATTTAATCAGACCTCATATCCAGTCAACAGGCTAGGAAGTACGTTACGTTTCTCAACTTACGAAAAGTCATTCTCCATTCCAAATTTAGAAAAGGAATCTTACAGAGAGCTTAAGTTCAATATCACATCGCTGGGAATGCAACTCTTGGTTGATTTTCTTTGCCTTCCTCATGCTCCATTTCCATTCTTGCATTTCTGTCAAATCCCCCCCAAGAGGCTTCTCTGGAATAGGAACCTGCTTACCAATGAAGTAAGAGTGAATCAATCAATCACATAATAAACATGTAACCAAAAATCACGCAGAATACGTGTCCTAACAATGGTCAGTTTATAATTAAAGACCTATTTTCTTACCAGCAATTCACATTATATAACAAGCTATACAACACTCTAACTTGTGTAGTTGCTCATTGGGTCTTATTTTGCTTGATTGGAGCCCTTGCTTTAATTTGCCTCCTTTTTGTGGGCTCTCTGTTTTTTGTATGCCCTTGTATCTTTCTTTTTTTTTTAATCAATGGAGGTTCGGTTGTTCATACAAATAAAAAAACACAATTTAAAAAAAAAAAAAAAAAAAAAAAAAA